TGAAACAGTATTAGATTACAAAAAAGCCAACAGAAAACAAAGCAAAAGAAAGAAGGTAATTGTGAGTCTTATTAAAGTATCATAATGTGCCTGTATTGCAAGGATCTTGCTAAATGTGGTTGATGGATTTTATCATTTGAGTTTGAGAACGTGCGCTGCTTTAAATGTTGCCGCCGCAAGGACGGCATTCTCTCCTTTCCTTTCTTAAAGGATGGTCCGGTGTACCCTATGCTAAAGGAGATATGAAAGGAAGCATTGAGGCTCCTTTCCTCAGCTTTTAGAGAATTCAAACAGCTCTTATCATGGCTGCCACTGAAATACTTCCGGTTCATTTAACACTGTCAGAACTCTTCCTGAGCAAAAAATACTTTTTCGAACGCAGCCTGGGTCTCCATAATGCAAGCTTACTTTCCTTCTCAGCCACTGCGCTCCTCCAACGAACGCCATCTGGCTCTGCCATCCCGACTCACAAAGTCCCTCTCTAACTTCAAGAAGCTCCTGAAAACTCATCTCTTCAGAGAACACTTTCTCTTATAACACCTCTAACTCCTAACCTCTTACATGCACTTCCTGTGCTCTTCTTCTTCTGTCCCCTTACAATTATCTTGTATTGATATGCCAGTTGTAGATCTTGTGCTGTATTTGATGTTGATGCTTGTATGTTGTTCCTCAAATGGAAGTCACTTTGGATAAAAGCGTCAAATGAGTAAATGTAATTTAGCAAACTTTCTTATTTCTCTGAACTTCTCACTCCTCTGTTCTCCATGCATGTTCATGCAACGTTTGTCCTTCCCTTCCCGCCAGCTCACAGGTGCCTAATTTATCTCCTGCTGCTCAAACCACACACCCAATCAAGAGCAAATGGCCCATTCTGCCACTCGTCTACCCGTCTCTGCTACACTCCGGTCAACAAATCTTGGATGGAATGCCATTTTTGTACAGGAAGATTTTTCTCTGTGTGACTGTAGTTGGTGCTTTATCATTGGCTGTTGTCCTGTTGCTTCAACCCAACAAGAGTGACCTTCCAACCTCACGTGCACTTTCAATAATAACTCATCATAATAGAGAAAAATACTTTTGTCTTTTTCACAGGTTTGCAGACCAGAGGAAGTTCAGACGGGACAAACATGGAGGTGACTTTCTTTTACTCTTTGATTACTCTCACTGTTGGATAAGATGTACCAGTGCAGGCGACAATCATTAGAGATTTCCTATGCAGATCCAAAGGATTAGGATTAGTATGAGCATTTTTAATAGATGGTATTAAATGGTACACAACACCCTACAGGTCAGCATTTCACTCCATATATGAGTAAAAATTAGAGTGTGGTAATATTAAAATAATATAGGCTCACAGGGAGTGGATCTTGATCTCTGACATCCAGGTTGAATATTTCTGTCTGACTGTCGCATTCACCTCTTAAAATGAAAAACGTCACCGTGATGTATTGATGTTATTTCTGTGAGGGCCGTGTCTTTTCTCTAGTTGATTGCGTAACACCAATATTTGGAGTTTCTGATCAACAGAAACCAAATCACTTCTGCAGCATAATCGTCTTTCTTCACTGTCCATCTCTCAGATGTTCTTAAAAATATAGCAAAGCAGAAAGCTTCGGTCTCCACCCTCATGCACAATTGTAACCACTGATGTGCTTTTATTCGTTGTGAAAATCTTTGTTTCTTTTTTTTCAGCTTGCTCAATATGAGAACTGTCCTCCAGCTTCTACATCTGAATCCACCTACGAGAGCCTCAATCCAGCCAGCATGGATCAGAACCAGACCTACGCTACACTCGCACACACACAACACAAATGATGCTGTTTGTGTCTCACTGAGCACTGCAACTCTGCCATATACTCATTTAGGTAGATTAACATTATCCCACCAATGGACTACAACTTAACTCACAACTCAGTATGGGGGCAACCACAAGCTGGTCAGTATCATATAAAATATTGGAACATTAGAGATAGGAACTTTATTGTAAATATGATTTCAATTTATTTTTCTGCATTCAGTGTTCATATCAACGTTCTGTCTGTCTAATAACAAGGGTTTTCTGAAAGTTACAGAGAACCTTTAATGAAATGCTAGCAAATAGAAAAACACAAGCAAATGAAGAAAAATATGACTGCAACATTTAGAAAAGAGATCTCAAGTAGCCACTGTACATTTAGAGTAGAGTTTCCTTTGACACATCATCTATGTTGTCTTTTTTTATTATAATAGTTCAGAAAACATGACGCTGCTGTTAAGCAAATGTAAATATTTGGTAAAATGCTGATCCCCACACAAGAACTAGTTGGTGTGGTTCAACTTGTTTTGTCCATTACAATTACTGTGGATATTCACAGTGCTGCTAGGCTTACAGGTGTATTAGCTGCTGCCCGGGTAATCTTTCCAACCAGCCAAGCAGCAGAACCTTAAGATTATATTTACATTTACTCATTTGGCAGACACTTTTATCCAAAGCGACTTACATTTGAGGAAAAAAATACAAGCATCAATAGAGCATCAAATACAGATCTACAACACATACTAGCAAGAGCAGCAATACGTACTGGTTGGTGCAAGTTCATACAGCAAGCTCTGCAGCCTCGGTCATTTTAGGGAGGAGATCTTAATTACTTAACGGGCCAGTTTCTGAGATGTAGCCCATCTGTAGGCTATAGGCCAAAATGTTTTCCCATATTTAGATTGACTATTTTACATGTCCAAAAAAAGTCTGTGGTTATAAAATGACAAACAAATAAACCTTGATACCATGAAATACTATGAACAGTGATTCTGATTGGCACCTGTGCTGTTTGATTGCAGTTCTAAATAAATGCACCAGTACTGAACTGGAGGTAAAGATAGTAACAGTGAGGATCAGCTAAAGAGCTTGGTGGGTTATTTGTACTTTATGATCCACTTCCTGTTTAGCTTGTTGAGCAACACAGACAACAGACATTCTGAGACTAATTAACTTTTATGTTTTATGTAGCCTGTTTATGAGTTTTAAAACAAAAAAGCCACGTTGATATTTTTGTTGTAGCTGTTTGTAAATAAACGACAATGAAAGTTTTAATTTGTTTACATAAGGCATTTTGTTGTCCAGTGGCCTTTGTATAGACGGAATAATAACCAACAAGATTTATATACCATGATAGTAACGATGCAGAAGCTCAGAAAACAAGACATTTGGGACTCAGTAATAAAAATGTATAATTTTGTAATGTATAGACATACTGAAGACCACAAATTCTCTGACAATGAGTAATAACAAGATGTTACGTACATTAATGTGCAGGTAACCTCAGACCCTGCCGTAGAAATAAAGATGGTGGAGATGGGAGGAGAGTAGAGCTGTGTGTGTGTGTGTGTGTGTGTGTTGTGTTTGGAGGAGGGACTATATCATTTAAAGAAGTTAGAAGTTCCTGGTTTGTCAGTGAAGAAGTCAGAGCGGCAGCAGTAAACCATCAGAGCCTCAACATGAAAGTCCGTCACACTTTGATCTGCTTCTTCTTCCTCTGTGAGTATTCACTTTGGATTTCTGTCTCTCTCTCTTGTTATGTATTTTTTATTTATTTATTCTCATGAGTTAAATATGATGATCAGAGTCAGGTATGAGGCACTTTAATGGATGTTCAGGTCTGTCCTAAAACAGTCCTCGCATAGAATGTGGATTTTACCTCCATCTCTTTGAGAAGCTCGTTCAACGTACATATGAGCTCATGAGAATAGAACATATCCTTTAAAATATAGTCCAGTAATAGTTCTTTAGTTAACTTCCTTAAAATGAACTGCACATGAGGAAGGAAAATGAAGGGCATAATCTTACACGGTTAGAAGAGAGTTGAATCCCAACATCTGAGAAGCTGGAACCAGCAACTGTTTGACATTTTGACCTGTAAAATCGCAAAAAAGAATAGTTGCCATTAAGTGATTAATTGTTGCAGCTCTACTTGATTTCAAAGGTCACAAAGTACAATTTTGTTGCTTGTTGCTGTATTTTTATGGTGACAGAGTTTGTGTGTTCTGTTGCTTCAGCCTGACTGTTAGTGGACTTTGTTGTAGCTTCACAAGATTTGAAATAACTTCTGTATGAAGTAGATTTTAAATAAAGATATCACACAAACAGGAACAAAAGAAATCTGCATGGATTTAAGAATTGGATAAATAAAAATGTATTTACATCACATTAAATAATTTTTCATAACCTACTGATCACTGTTTACACATCTAACAAATCCTGCTAAAGCTCTGATGTAAATACAGTCAGTCAGTTCTGTATTCTGATTAAACGGGAAGAAAGAGTTACAGAATGTTGAAAGTCTCACTGAACTCTTGTGGTTTGTGGCTTAAAAACTGACCTGAAAGTTTTAGTCTACAATATTTATGTTCATATTCTGTCTGGTTCTCCTTTTTAATGCTGATTTCAGTATTTCATAGTGTTTTGTTGGAGCTCTGTTACTGTTTGTTCTGCTGTATACTCTGATACAGTTTTCCACTTTGGTAGAGATTAATATTCAATTCTAAATGAATGTTATTAATGACGTGAAAACCTGGTTCATTATTGTTCAAACAGTTGTCCTTTTTTATGGCTCACTGTGGAAGAAAGAAAGACGAAAAAGAGAGAAAAAAGAATCAGTTACTTTTTATAATTTACATTTCATTTATTGAAACCTTTATTTATACAGGGAAGAATAACAGATGATGGCTAAAAGAAGTACAGGAAAAACAAAACAGTAACATTCACCTGCAGTGCCAGTCTGTGATCCTCAGCCACAGACTGGTTGAACTGGGCAGCTCCCAGTGTGACGTGAAGCAGCAAATGTTGTGATCAGACTGCAGCATCTTACAGGAAGTTCAGACAGTAACTATTGTTGTTCATCTTTTCAACAGCTCTGCAGGATGGAAACACTGGTCTCACCAATGCCCAGATCACATCTGTCCATACAGGAACTGAAGGAGGAGATATCACGGTTACATGCTCCTTTTCTTCATATGGAACCTCGATGTTCTTTTGCAAGAGAGAATGTAAACCAGAGGACATCCTCATTAAAACAACTGGTGTCAGAGATCAGAGAGGCAGATACAGCATCACATATGAAGGAGGGGAAAATGTTGTCGTGAGCATCACACAGCTGACCAAGTCTGACTCAGGACTGTACAGATGTGGTCTGGGTGGATCAAACATTACATTTGAAATCATTGTTGTAGATGGTGAGTTTCTACTAAAAGTCATGAAAATGTTTCTTTCCTGTCTGAAGAAAAGCTTCACTGTTCACTGGTTGATTCTCATTTAACACCAACAGGCTGATAAAGACACACACTCACATGATAATTTGAATATTAGTGTACCACACATTCAACTTATTGTTCCAAGTGATAATAATTTAGAACTGGGCAGCTCCCAGACCGACCAATCGTGAGTCCTGTCTTTCCCTCTCAACTTTTATCTTTCCAGAGAAACCATCAGAGAAAACTCTGAGGAAATACTTTGTGGAATGAAAGCTAGTGAAACAAAAGCTCCCTTAATCGGTGGGATGTTGGCTCTCTATAGTGTTTACAATATAAAGGACCAGAGTGATGAATAGCTGTACCAAAATAATTTGATTTGAACAAACTGTCCCCAGCTGATGAATGATTCACCCAAGGTTCAGTCGTATTCACTAGCAAGAGTTAGCATAGTTAGTGTTTGGAGGAGGGACTATATCATTTAAAGAAGTTAGAAGTTCCTGGTTTGTCAGTGAAGAAGTCAGAGAGGCAGCAGTAAACCATCAGAGCCTCAACATGAAAGTCCGTCACACTTTGATCTGCTTCTTCTTCCTCTGTGAGTATTCACTTTGGATTTCTGTCTCTCTCTCTTGTTATGTATTTTTTATTTATTTATTCTCATGAGTTAAATATGATGATCAGAGTCAGGTATGAGGCACTTTAATGGATGTTCAGGTCTGTCCTAAAACAGTCCTCACATAGAATGTGGATTTTACCTCCATCTCTTTGAGAAGCTCGTTCAACGTACATATGAGCTCATGAGAATAGAACATATCCTTTAAAATATAGTCCAGTAATAGTTCTTTAGTTAACTTCCTTAAAATGAACTGCACATAAGGAAGGAAAATGAAGGGCATAATCTTACACGGTTAGAAGAGAGTTGAATCCCAACATCTGAGAAGCTGGAACCAGCAACTGTTTGACATTTTGACCTGTAAAATCGCAAAAAAGAATAGTTGCCATTAAGTGATTAATTGTTGCAGCTCTACTTGATTTCAAAGGTCACAAAGTACAGTTTTGTTGCTTGTTGCTGTATTTTTATGGTGACAGAGTTTGTGTGTTCTGTTGCTTCAGCCTGACTGTTAGTGGACTTTGTTGTAGCTCCACAAGATTTGATATAACTTCTGTATGAAGTAGATTTTACAGAAAGATATCACACAAACAGGAACAAAAGAAATCTGCATGGATTTAAGAATTGGATAAATAAAAATGTATTTACATCACATTAAATAATTTTTCATAACCTACTGATCACTGTTTACACATCTAACAAATCCTGCTAAAGCTCTGATGTAAATACAGTCAGTCAGTTCTGTATTCTGATTAAACGGGAAGAAAGAGTTACAGAATGTTGAAAGTCTCACTGAACTCTTGTGGTTTGTGGCTTAAAAACTGACCTGAAAGTTTTAGTCTACAATATTTATGTTCACATTTTGTCTGGTTCTCCTTTTTAATGCTGATTTCAGTATTTCATAGTGTTTTGTTGGAGCTCTGTTACTGTTTGTTCTGCTGTATACTCTGATACAGTTTTCCACTTTGGTAGAGATTAATATTCATTTCTAAATGAATGTTATTAATGACGTGAAAACCTGGTTCATTATTGTTCAAATAGTTGTCCTTTTTTATGGCTCACTGTGGAAGAAAGAAAGAAGAAGCAGAGAGAAAAAAGAATCAGTTACTTTTTATAATTTACATTTCATTTATTGAAACCTTTATTTATACAGGGAAGAATAACAGATGATGGCTAAAAGAAGTACAGGAAAAACAAAACAGTAACATTCACCTGCAGTGCCAGTCTGTGATCCTCAGCCACAGACTGGTTGAACTGGGCAGCTCCCAGTGTGACGTGAAGCAGCAAATGTTGTGATCAGACTGCAGCATCTTACAGGAAGTTCAGACAGTAACTATTGTTGTTCATCTTTTCAACAGCTCTGCAGGATGGAAACACTGGTCTCACCAATGCCCAGATCCCATCTGTCCATACAGGAACTGAAGGAGGAGATGTCGAAGTTAGATGCCCCTTTTCTTCATATGGAACCTCGATGTTCTTTTGCAAGAGAGAATGTAAACCAGAGGACATCCTCATTCACACAACTGGTGTCAGAGATCAGAGAGGCAGATACAGCATCAGATATGATGGGGGGGGGAAATGTTTTCGTGAGCATCACACAGCTGACCAAGTCTGACTCAGGACTGTACAGATGTGGTCTGGGTGGATCAAACATTACGTTTGAAATCATTGTTGTAGATGGTGAGTTTCTACTAAAAGTCATGAAAATGTTTCTTTCCTGTCTGAAGAAAAGCTTCACTGTTCACTGGTTGATTCTCATTTAACACCAACAGGCTGATAAAGACACACACTCACACGTTAATTTGAATATTAGTGTACCACACATTCAACTTATTGTTCCAAGTGATAATAATTTAGAACAGGGCAGCTCCCAGTGTAACTGTGGATCACATTTGAAACTGTGATTATTGTGATCAGACTGCATCATGTTAAGTACAGATAGTAACTATTGATTGTTCATCTTTTCAACAGCACTGCTGGATGGAAGTCCTCCTGAAGACAAATCCCTCTATACAAGAGCTGGAGGAAATATTGTAGTTGGATGCTCCTTTACTGTCTCTGGAAGGGGGGAAGTACTTCTGCAAGGAAGAATGTGAAGATAAAGACATTCTTGTTGAAACAACTGGTTACACAGCTGAGAGAGGCAGATACAGCATCAGATATACACAACGATCTCTGACAGATGTATCTGTGTATGTGAGCATCACACAGCTGACAGAGTCTGACTCAGGACGGTACAGGTGTGGTCTGGAAAGACGTTTATCACCAGATTCCTACCGGGGGTTTGAGATCATTGTCACAGATGGTGAGTTTCCACTGAAGTAGAATGAAAATGTTTGTTCATGTCTCTGCAGGTCTGAAGAAAGTTTTCACTGACAGCTGATGATGTTTTAAATTCCCATCACCGTGAACTCTGAGAAATGTCAATTTAAAACAGAAACAGACTGTACACCCATTTCTCTAATCAATATTTTAAATGTATCTGCATGTTTTTGTTGTTCACAGCTCCAACCACTTCAAAACCAAAACCTCCTCTACCCATACCTGTCAATTTGTTTTACCTTCTCTCGTTTACAATTCTCCCTCTGTGCTTCTGTTGCTTTTCACCAAGGAGCCCGGCGTTCAGTTCTCGTGTGAAACAAGAATGAGTTTTTAATTAGCAACGTTATCTTCATAGTGTTAGCTATGTTAGCTTTGTAGCCTTTGTCACTGAGTGCTCAGTGTTTTAAGCAGCTGTGTCCATGTTGTAAAGGCTTTTTTCAATTTTCAGGAAATCTGTTTCAATGTTTTAAAAAGCTTCGACAATATTTAAAGCCCAGTTTTCATTTAGGAGCACATGTGCTCCATAGAAAAAAGGTTAGCACAGAGCTCTGTGAGGCCCTTTTGTCTTTTAATTTATACCATGCAGGGATGTTCACAGCATTTCCCTTTCAACCAGATATCACATTCTGACCACCTAATTGTTGTCACTTACTTAATGTAGGAATAAGTTGTTGTTGCACTGATATTTTAAAGCAAGTGGTTGCCTGGTAGTCATTTTAGGATTCACTCTGTGTACCTTTATGTGAATGTGTTAGATCAGTGACACGCCCCAGGGCCAGGTGCCTGATTCTTTCCCTTATTTTTAAATCCAATGTTAATGTAAAGGGTTAGCAGTCCCATCAGGCTCCACACCAGCAACACAGAGTTTAAGCTCTCAGACTGACCAGCAGCAGACAACAGCAACAGCAGGTACACCCACACTGTTTGATAGATGAAAGTCAGTGACTGAAAGCATTGGCATCTAATTGACCTTCCAGCACCTAACAAAGCTGTATTGCAAGACATGGCTCCATCAAACACAAATCACATGTCAGCTTAATCTAGATTTATTTCTAACAGCACACTTCAGTTATTCCAGATTTATACAACCGACCAATCGTGAGTCCTGTCTTTCCCTCTCAACTTTTATCTTTCCAGAGAAACCATCAGAGAAAACTCTGAGGAAATACTTTGTGGAATGAAAGCTAGTGAAACCAAAGCTCCCTTAATCGGTGGGATGTTGGCTCTCAATAGTGGTTACAATATAAAGGTTGCATGCAGTTACTTTACAATACATTTATTCATTTAGCTGACGCTTTTATCCAAAGCGACTTACAATTGCTATACATGTCAGAGGTCACACGCCTCTGGAGCAACTAGGGTTAAGTGTCTTGCTCAGGGACACAATGGTGGATGCCTCACAGTGGGAACTGAACCCAGGTCTCCCACACCATCACCACCCCAGTTACATACAGCCCACCTTCAGTACTGATTTAGAACAGTGGCTAGATCGTTGTCTTGAACTATGTCATGTCCTGTTATATGATTTTATTGGAGATCAGTATTTTCCATAAACATTGTAAAATGCTACTGTAGGAGAAAATTAAATACCTAATTGTGATCTGATGCTTTTGTGCACCTCGATGAGATCTGAAAACTTTGACCTACCGAATGAGAAAGAACACAATTTGTTCCAGAAGATTCTTCTCTTTAAGGAATGAAGTTCTCCAACAAAAGATTTTTCCACAGAACTTAAATATGTAAATGTGTTTGTATTTATATAAACTATAGTCTTTTGTTTTTAGATTTAGCATATTTTCTTTAAAATAAGTTATTCAGGTGTTACTATTAGTTTGACAGCACTGCGTGAACAGGGTCTCAGGTCCCACATCTTGAAAACAAACCTGTTCTTCTCTTTAACCTCCACCACAGGTTGGGCCTCCACCTCCACGCTGCTGTATGCTGTTCTGATTCCTGTCATCATCGTCATCCTCTCAGGGCTGACACTGATGAAAATCTGTATTCAGAGGAACACCAAACCTAAAGGTGAGGCAACAGTAAACTCTTACACAGCAACAACAACAAGTGAAACTTCCCATTTCTCATCAAAAATGACATTTCAGTCAGGACACTCATATCAAAGTTTTAAAGACTTGCATCAATGCATACTGTAGTTTGACTGTGTGTGGCCCTGCTCATGTAATTCTCTGGAACAAATCTGAGGAACAGACTGTCCCTGAGCTCACACACCCACAAAATGTAATGATCAAGAAAGACACGTTAAAGAAATGAGGAAGGTGCACAGGAAGTTTTGGTTTTGTTGGTGTGTTTCATCATTTATAATAGAGAAAAATACTTTTCTTTTGTCTGTTTCACAGGTTTGCAGACCAGAGGAAATTCAGATGGCACAAACATGGAGGTGACTTTCTTTAACTCTTTGATTACTCTCTCTGTTGGATAAGATGTAATATAATAATAATAATTTTAATAATCCTTATTTGTAGAGCACTTTTCAAAAACAAGTTACAAAGTGCTTTAACAAGTGTAAAGAATAATACAAAAAAAACCAAAAAAACAAACGAGAATGAAAAATTAATATAAAATTAGTGAAATACAATAAAATAAAAGGGATAACATAAAGTCAAATAAGATCGGGAAAGGCTCTCCTATAAAAGTATGTTTTAAGAAGGGACTTAAAAGAGTTCACTGACTCAGCCGACCTGATTTCCTCGGGCAGGCTGTTCCAGAGCCTCGGGGCCCTGACAGCAAACGCTCTGTCCCCTTTAGTTTTCAGTCGAGACTCTGGAACAGACAACAGACCTCTGCCCGAGGATCTCAAGGTGCGTATGGGACTAAAAGGTCAGAAATATAACAAGGCGAGAGGCCATGAAGAGCTTTAAAAGTGATCAATAGAATTTTAAAGTCAATTCTAAAACATACTGGGAGCCAGTGTAATGAAGCTAAAATAGGAGTAATGTGTAATTTTTGCTATATTTCTAAGTTGATAAAAACATTTTTGAACAAGCTTTGTGGTGTGCTTCTCAAAATTTAAATTACTATCAAACCAAACACCAAGGTTCTTTGCCACAGGCTTAATGTGATTTACTAGGGAACCAGCAGATGGCAGTATTTGATTTGCCATCTGCTGAGACCCGATGACCAGGATTTCTGTTTTGTCTGAGTTCAGCTGGAGAAAATTATTTGACATCCATTTTTTAACTTCACAAAGGCAGTTATTAAGTGAACTTTGCATTCCAGGGTCTGTGGATCTGACGGGCAAGTATATTTGTGTGTCATCAGCATAAATATGAAAAGAAATGCCATGTTTATGGATAATATGTCCAAGGGGAAGCAGATACAAGGAAAACAAAATGGGTCCTAAAACCGACCCCTGAGGCACACCATATTTAACTGGACAGAACAAAGAGACATAGTTGTTTACAGACACACAAAACTTCCTATTTGACAGGTAGGATGAAAACCATTCTAGGGCAGTACCAGAGATCCCCACCCAGTGCCGCAGTCTGTCTAACATGATGTTGTGATCAATGGTGTCAAAAGCAGCGCTAAGGTCCAGGAGTACAAGGACTGAGCACATGCCTTCATCAGCAGACATTAAAAGGTCATTGGTGACTTTAAGCAGGGCAGTCTCAGTGCTGTGGTACTTCCTAAAACCAGACTGAAACTTTTCAAATAATTTGTTATTTTCCAGCACAGTGAGCAGCTGTTTGGACACAATTCTTTCTAGAATCTTTGCAATAAAAGGCAGTTTTGAAATTGGTCTAAAATTTTGTGGGAGGGAGGGATCTAAACCAGGTTTCTTTAAAAGTGGGTTCACGCAAGCAGTTTTAAAATAATCAGGGACACAACCAGTAGATAGGGAGCTGTTGAAAACAGAGATCAAATGGGGCCCAACAGAGTCTATTATTTTCAGTAAAAATTTTGTAGGTATTATATCAAGTGGGCTAGAGGACACTCTCATTTGTGATACTATTTTTAAAAGCTCAGACAAGTCGATGGGATAAAACTGGTTAAAACTCTGTTGTTGCTGGTGAGGGACCTCTGAGTAAGAGGCCACGGGGGTAATAGAGGCTCTGATTGACACCACCTTATTGGTAAAATAAGATAAAAACAATTCACAGTCATCATTACTTCCAGCTGAGGCACAAGGAGGGGTTGGGTTTACCAGCTGATCCACAGTCTTAAACAGAAACCTGGGATTGTGTTTATGTGTAGTAATGAGTTCAGAAAAATAGTGTGTTCTCGCATCCTTAACCAGTTATTGTAGTTAATTAATAAATCCTTCAGACTGAGGTAATGGACTTGGAGACTGGATTTTTTCCATCTGCGCTCTGCTTTCCTGCATTCCCTTTTTAGGCTGCGAATGCTGTCATTTATCCAGGGTTGCTTACTAGCTTTAGACGTAGGCCTAACCTTTAGAGGAGCAGTAATATTTAGTGACGACAAGACATCATGAAGTGATCGACCAGATTGTTGGTGTTGGAATCAGACAGGTGTTGGCTTTGGCTCTGAAAGAATGCGCAAAACTTTGAAACACTTTGTTCATTAAAGATGCGAGAACACACGGAGCTTGGTGAGGCGGCATGAGTAACAGGCGAATCGCAGCTAAAAACAATACATCTGTGGTCAGATATGGTCATGTCCACTAATTCCACAGAGGAAATGCTGACACCCAGGGTAAAAACCAAGTCCAGTGTATGACCACGGTTATGTGTTTGCCCTTTGACATGTTGTTTGAAGTTAAAAGAAGTGGCCATATTTAAAAAGTCAGTTGCATTAACATTGGTGGGGTCATCAACATGAATATTAAAATCGCCACAAAGAACAATTCTGTCATAATTTAAAACCAGAGTAGATAAAAATTCAGGAAGTTCTGATAAAAATCCTCCAGGCGGTTTTGGGGGGCGATAAATTATAACAAATATGATAGGTTGCAGCCCTCCAACTTTAAGAGTGAGAACTTCAAAGGAGTTAAATTCATCACAGCGTACTTGATGACATTTAAAATTTTTCCTATACACGCTCACTAGCCCACCACCACGACCACTGACCCCCTTGACTAAAGCAATCATATTGAGGCGGACACAGTTCAGCTAGCTGGCTATAGTCATTCATTTGCAACCAGGATTCAGTTAAAAACATAAAATCTAGATTTGCAGACAAGATAAAATCATTTAAGATAAAAGTCTTACTTGAAAGTGATCTCACATTGAAGAGAGCCATTTTAAATGAGTTTGTTCTGGGTGCTGGAGTTGGTGCAGTTGTCCTAATCCTTAAGAGATTACTATTATTTCTGTGTGGGATGTGCACATTTCGGTTTACTGGTCTATGCGTGATGATGACAGGAATAGAAGTCTGTGGAACAGCGCTGGGAGCAGACGGCTTTACATGCCAGCAGGTGGAGACAGTTGTTTGTGGCAGTGAGGCAGAGATCTGTTCAGGTGGTGGTCCAGGTGTGCTGCATGAATGATTAGTCATTCACGTAAGTCATGTGTGGACCGCACCACATGCTGTATGTGCGCAGCTAACATTTCTGAGCCCCGTTTGTTTGGGTGAAGTCCGTCTGTCTTAAAAAGAGACATTCTTTTCCAGAAAATATTAAAATTATCCACATAACACACACGGTGAGCGATGTGGGATCCAGAGCAGGACTGAGCAGAATCTGCTTCAACGCTGCGTGCGGACTGAGGATGGATGTGTGAGCTGTTGAGTGTTGTGTTGGAGTAGCAGTAACAGACCTGACAGAAGGGCTACCGACGGTGCAGGGTAGACATCCTCCGGAGCGTCTGAGCACAGCCTCCTTCAGGATCCTACGTCGGGAAGCGGAGGTTTTTGACCGGGATGACGGCCGCCGATCAGGCCCAGCGGCAGACCGGCGGCCCAGTGCAGGAGATGTAGCCGGTGGAGGAGATGCAACAGTGTCGGCAGGCACTGTGCGCCGAAAGAGATCCGTATCAGGGAGACTCGAAGCCGCAGGTGCATCCGCTGGATGGACCGGAGTGTCGTTAGACAAGGCTGCATAGCGGTTGGAGAGGCCGCTGTCCGGAGGAGAGGCAGCCCCATCCGAGCCTCTCTTGCAGCCACGGACCACCACTTCAGCCCAGATTGACTGATGCTTCAGAGTCGAGCAGGATGAAAGCCTGGGAAGACTAGAGGGGTCCCAAAACACGGTGTCCTGGATGTTAGCGGTTGCGCTAAGAGAAACAATCTGTTTGGCTTGTACTGAAGCTACATCCATAAAGCCAGTCAGCAGGGAATCTTTCTCTTTGAGTTCCTCTGAAAGTCGTCGGATGTCTTCCATAAGGTCAGCAATCTTTTTGGTTGCTTACTTAAGGAGTGTGCAGTCCTCATGGGGCAGAGTTATCTCGGCTTGCATAGTCACCGGAGCTTTGTTGCGATCAGTAGCGTTGATCGCGTTTTTACGGTCATCTAGCTTAAAATCCATGTCGGATGACTAAAATCCTTAACCCACGTAAAACTTAAGTTAAAAACTTAAAGTTAAAAACTTAAGTTTTAATAAAAACGATATAAAAAATGTAACGAAAAAGAGTGGATTAAAACTGGATAAGAGTCCGGTTTAAGACGGAGCTTCCGACAGGTGGCTACAGACGCCAACGCATGCGCAGAGTGCAGATTACGTCAGCAATTACGTCAGATCTTGACAAGATGATGACAAGATGAATATGGATCGCGTTAGCTGGTGAAGTAATGTGACAAGCCATGTGCAGGAGACAGTAGTTAAAGATGTCTTGAACCAATCTTCAGGATTGGAATCAGGGCAGATTTTAACATGCTGATAATTTCTTTACTTCCACTGCATATAGGTGTGAAAATTAGAGTGAGGCAGAGGATTATCAAAATATCCAAAATAGGTGGGGAGCCAGACAGAAGAATTAACTTCATCCTAACCTCTCACTTAAAACGGTCAATTAGTAGGATATTAGATACCCCGATCACTAGCTACCTTCGCTACAAACATACACCAATAAAAGAAAACCACCAAACACTAATTCAGTCACTCCAAATAAAGTTGATTATATTCAAAGTCAAACAATAATGCACATAGTAAGCAAACACAAATCTTTCATTTCCATTTTTGCAATAAAGAACTTCTCAAAATGTATGATTCATATACAAAATTAAAATGTCCACAATTTAAATGATAAGGAAACAGACTAGTCCTCCAACTTGAGGAGGAGGGGGGTGAGTGGCATGTGTGGATGTGTGTGGGTTAAGGGGAAATCAGGCAGTTAAGGCCATTTGAGTTCTGGTGTGAGAGGGATGAGTGTGTAGGTGTGTGTAGGTGTAGTCCAGTTCAATTGAATTCCACTGAAGAGAGAATAAGGGTGTGGAGGTGTATGTGGGGTTCATTTCAAAAGCAAAAGGCCCACTCTGACACTGTCCTAACTCTCTCTGCGACAACAGAGTTAACGTAAACATCTTTGGGCACACAGTGAGTGGATCCTGAGTCCTGACATCAAGGTTGGGAAAATACTCAGATTCACTCTGACCCTAACAAATCTGGTATTGAATCTTTAATCTTACATGTTACTGCCAGGTTCACCTCTTAAAATGGCAAACATTGGCTGATTAACGTTACTTCTGTAAGGGCCAAAAATGAAACTTTTCTCCATCAGGTCTGTGTCTGTACAGCCAAAGATCATTTGTGCGTAAAGAGCTTCCACTCTGTTACACTGCTGTACAACCACGAATGGACTGTTTCTTTTCCAACTATTTTATTCTATTCCAACTAACAGTAGGACGTCAATGTTTTGTAAGTTACCTAAAACCATCAAACTTATTAACAGACCCACCAGAGACTTTAAACCTTGCTGTAGAAAGTTTGTGGACTCGAGTAGTGACGGGTTTCACAGTGGGTAAAATAATCAAAATGTCAACAGAAACCAAATCACTTCTGCAGCATAATCCTCTTTTTCACAAATATAGCTTAGCAGAGAGCTTCTTTCTCCACCCTCATGCACAAACTCGTTATGTGTTGGTTTTCGTTTCCTGCCTCCTGCTCTCACCTCCAGAAATGTACATTACATTTATCTGACGCTTTTTATCCAAAGCAACTTACAATTCCTAATTATATCCGAGATTCCACGTCTCTGGAGTAACTAGGGGGTAAGTGTGTTGCTCAGGGTCACATTAGTAGATATGTTACTGGGGGGATTGAACCCATGTTTCTCACACCAAAGGAAGCCATCTTATCCACTGCTCCATCACCACCCTTAGTTGGAGTTAAGGGTGGTGATGTCCTTTCACTGTAGGTCATTCTCTGTCTGTCAAATAGTTTGTGTTTTTTGTTTTCAGATCGCCCTCTATGAGAACTGTCCTCCAGTTTCTACATCTGAATCCACCTACGAGAGCCTCGATCCAGCCAATAGGGATCAGAACCAGACCTACTCTACACTCACACACACACACAACACAAATGATGCTGTTTGTGTCTCACTGAGCACTGCAACTCTGCCATAAACTCAGGTATTCCGGTAGATTAACGCTTTCTCACCAAGAAGCAGTCCACATGATCTTTAGCAGGTTTTAATAGGAAAAAAGCACTTAGACCTACACGTTAGTGTTCCATTACAGTTTGGATTCAGACCAGAACTTAAAAAATTAGACCTTCCCCGACTGTCTTGGTTTCACTATAACAGCCTGTGGACAGATGTAAAGGGCTCAGGATTGCTTTTCTGGCTAAATCCAAAGGATGAGATGTTTATACGCTCCCGGTGCCTTCTTTTCTGCTCCCCTACAGAAACAAATGTGTGAAACATTAGTTTAGAAATAGATGATGAAGTGTGAGCAGCCAGCACCAGGCCAATGTTATATATACATTATTTATTATTTTACTCAAAAATGATTTACCATGTAATATCAATGAAATGATAATTCTTCTAGTAATGCAATATCATGCTGGGCAGCTATCTTTTCTAGTGCATGACAATGTGTTTTAGTTTATATCTCTTATTTTCTTTTCATTAATTAATGTTCATGTATTTATCTTGTCCTGTGTATACTTTGTGTGTTTTAACAGATGAATAAAAGCTGATGTGGATGTAGCCCGTGGAATTAGATGCCACACAGGACACAATTACTTCAGGGGTTCCTGTAGCTCCAGGTTTATTCCTGACCACATGTACAGTTCAATTCACAGAGTGGTATGCTACTGGGTCGTTCCCGTAACAGCTCAAATGCTGGATTTTGTAACAGTCTCTAACACCCAAATGTTGGAATGAATGAAGAGGCAAAATAAAAATAAAATGCAGAGAAATAAAATAAAAAAACACAATACAAAATACGGCAGTGGGCTATGACCATCGACAGAAACATAAAATAATCATGTTAACAACCATAAACCCACTTATATCAACATCAGTGTATAAAATGTACAACTGTAAATGACACTTACACTTCACCAAGTTCCACCAAACCCACGTGGAACTTCCCGGAGATCGCACAACTCAACGTACTTTCAACGTCAATTACCTTCAAACAGAGTTACACTTTATGTAAAACCTGCAACAGTTTCCGAGTACCAAAATACAATATCAGGGTCTGACTAAATGCATGTTAGCATTACCATGAAATTTAGTACACAATGGTCGACGATTGGCGCCCAAAATCCCAGCATACAATTCCAGTAGTGCCTAAATCAAACTGTCTAGTTAAAATATTGACAGGTGATTACATTTTATACACTTGTACATGAATATTTTACAAGACATGCATGCATTTACCTACTATTCTACACAACGAAGTCTCCGCACCAATCCCTTGGACGTCCATCGCAGATTAACAGGAAGAAAGACCATGATGCACTTGGCGGAACAACAACAATACTACTCAATGCTGCCGCCTTGTGACCAAAGTCTGCCATCATGTACGACTGTGGAAATCCACTTACAATCTACTTCACACTTACTTTACATTGAACAATGTTACTCTCAAACAAAACAACAAAGAACACATGTATTCACATTTACACAACTTTTAGAACTATATAAATATAAAGGGGGAAAATCACCTATGACTAGATTTACCACCCGGCTACATGGATTCTCAACAAAATAAAGAATGAGCTGTCATGAATCAAGTTGTCCACAGATAACTGAAAAAACAGAGACCACCCAATCTTTCCACTTTGCCCAGGTATCTGTCAATCCAAATAGATTGGATATCAAGAGACTTTCCGCTTAAATAAATATTTATTTTAATGTCCCCACGTGGACCAAATGACATCAGTGAACATCTGAAGTAAAACTGCATTTAAAGAGGAACAGTGCACTGAAGTGACCCTGCCTATATTTGGGACAAGCCTTTAATTCCTTTTGCACAAAACTGAAACTACTAAGAAACAGTTTATTAATTTCAAACAGAATTGTAACACTTGTAAAAAGAAATTATCAAATAATATCAAATACACGTCATTCATTTGATCTGGCACCGACAGACAGCTTATGTGCTTTTATTTCAAAGTAACATCTATTAATTGAAGTTTAACGGTATTTATTTATTTATAAGGACAAAACACATTAATCAGCATTTCAGTAAATGAGCCAGTGTTAGCCTGCTGACTAATTTTCAACTGCAGTCCTTCGGTAAGATGTTTTGAAACCATAATGATAAAATGTACAGAATAAGTACAAATGCCTTCATAATAGTACAGTTTTGGATATACCAGTGCAAAGTTACGTATTTTAACAATACTGTAATGCTGAAATAGTCGTTAGATTGTTGCATACCTGTTCTCATTTCTCAAGGTTGAAATTATTGATGCCATTGTAAAGCGACTCAGTCTGTACTGGACTCTCTGTAGTGCCTAGGCCTACTGTCCCAGATCCTTTGTTCCTTCATCAGTTCGTAGATTATTAACTCAGAGCAAAATTAAAACAGCCCTGGAGGTAGCTTTAACATGCCCATAATCTATTATCAATAAACGATTGCTCAACAAAGTCTCAACACAAACACAGCTGGATTGAAATCCTTTAGGAGTCTTTGGAATAAACTTGACTTTATCGCCTCCATGAGACTCTAAGAACAGCTCAATGATGAATCATTAGATTTTTCAAAATGTACATATGTTCTCACAGTCTCATCCGGGTGTTTTGATGGCTGTTTTATTGATTACTGCTGATATTTCCATTGTTGTAGAAATAATTAAATTTTTACTTACTTGTACTTTACTTGAGTATTTCAATTTTATACTTTTACTCCGCTAACTTTCAGAGGGAAATATTGTGCTTTTTACTCCACAGCATTTATTTGACTTTGATAGTTGCTTTAAAAAAACAACAACAAATGATATGATGCAGTACTTTACTACTAATTCACTAGCAAAGACCACACAATCAACAGGTATGATTAAATGATTTATTGATGATTGAAACAGAAGATGTACGAGGCATGCGGTCGCCGAAGAGACATTCAAAAGCGTTAAGTGCTACAATAAAGATAACATTGAGGATTGTGTTACAACACACATGAATATGCAGGAAACCTCAAACCCTGCAGTAGAAATATAGATGATTGTGTGTGT